TGGACTCACACTTCTTTCCCTCTGCAGGTAAATAAGTACTAAGTTATAGCACGGCATGGCAGAGGTGCACACAGATGGCTAGACACCATGCCAACAGTGGACTGAGGATGACTTACAAGAAAGACACAGTTGGCCAGTGAGATAACTCAGCAGTCCGAAGTGCCTTCTTAGGCAAGCTCAGGCAGGCACAGGGGTTTGATCCCTGGCATCACATGCCATGCCAGGCCTGCCCTCAGGGAGGGCTGAGCAGGCCAGAGGAAAGAAAGAAAGAAAGAAAGAAAGAAAGAAAGAAAGAAAGAAAGAAAGAAAGAAAGAAAGAAAGAAAGAAGAAAGAAGAGAAAAGAAAGAAAGAGAGGGAGAAAAAAGGAAAGTCACAAAGATTAGAGGAGCCAGAATCTAGTTCTAAGGAAGACTTCATAATTATCAGACCCAATGCCTGAGTGAACAATTACAAACAAAATAGGCAACTTAATATTTGAGGAAGATAATGCCATGGAACAAAGCACCTCCAAACTCAGTGGTTACTTTTTCATGTATCTGTTAGGTCATTTGGGACTTGGTTCTGCTTGGCTAAGCTGTGCTCACTTGTGTAAACTGGATGCAAACTTAGAACCTCAGGGACTGGACTGAGGAGCAGAAATTAGCCAGGATGTGTGATTCTCCTGGCAAGGAACAGGAAGACAATAGAGGAGCAAAAGGAGGTGATGGTTCTGCTCAGAGCTTACACCTGGCATTCCCTTCCTGAAAGAAATGGAGTCAGTGGGTTAGGGACCTGGTTAACAAGAGCAGAAAGCAAGAACTGTGACTAAACGAACTGTCCTTACACAACAGTTGATAAGAGAAGCTTAATGTTTTAGGATATCAAGAAGCAAACAAGAGGGTACCAGAAGGCTCTAACTGGCAGAGGCCTCTTTTATGTGGGGGGCCCACTCATATGGATGACTTGATGCAGACACAGGATGCTACGACCCAGGCTCTAAGGTGTGGACCATGCCTCTGGGAATGGTGGTCAGTCGAGCACGGCGCCTGCACTTCCGGCAAGCTCAACTCGCGGTGATGGAGCTCAAGTTTATACCTTTTGGCATTCAACGCTCTTCTCATCTTAATTGGAGATTGATGCAGTTCTTCTCTGGCTGGTTGCACAAATAAAATTTTACCAGCTGGGCCACAATTAAATTTAATTTCAATTTAATTGGATACTTTAACAGCAAAACTTGTTCAACTTACTTATAAAAGTGTTCAGTGATTCTAATTTAGTCCATGTTATTGTCACACCTCTTTCCTAAATTTATAGTTTGTAGTTTGCAATTTCATCAGTAACGCCTCACCAGGATTGTAATATAAATGTTCCCAACTACGTAAGGGATGCCAGTCTCTTGGGCCCCCCCGACATAAAAATCCCAAGTCATGTGTATCATCTCTCGTGAGGCACCCGGGGCAGGTGGGCTCGCCTGAGCCAGGACCCTCGCTTCCTTCTCTTGTCTCCTTTGGCTACCCCATGGCACTTACTACCTCTCGCCTGGATAACCAGGAGCCTACTCAGTCACTACAGTATGCTTAGTCACTACATTACATGGTTGTTTTCTTTTAACTTTCATTTTGACATAATTTCAGATTTATAGAAAAGTTTTGAGAAAAATGCAGTGAAATCTAGAGCACATATACCCAGAGTCCCCTCCTGTTAATATTTTGTCACATGTGCTTTTTCATTCTCCTATTCACACAAACACATGCATGTGCATGTATCTCTTGCATATCTAATATACATACATACATACATATGTAGATGCATACACATATCTCTATTTCTGAACCATTGCATAGTTGGAAACATGATGCCTTTCAATCCTAAATGCTTTAGCATACATTTCCCTTAAACAAGAACATCATCATCATGCATAACCACAGTGCATTCATATTTTTAATCTAAAGTCTTATGCAGATTTTGCCATATCCCAAGAATATACTTATAGCTAAAAATTCAAACCACATGTTGTGTTCCGTTGTCATGTATGTTTAATTTGCCTAGTAACAGTTTCTCAGTCTTTCGTAGGTAAAAATGTCTTAAGTATTTTCATTCCCACTTTAAGGAGCATAGGCCAGCTATGTATAGAGTGCTCCTCACTCGGGTTTATTGTGAATAACACTACTATTTTAAAAGCTCAGTTCTGGCTAAGAAAATGTAGTAACTTCAATTGCTACTTAATGTCCCCAGCAAAGTTCTGGGCTTAATTTCTGACCTTACCTCTCTCTCCAACTAACTTCTTTTTTTTTTTTTTTTTTAGTTTAATGTAACACAAGTAGAAATTAATAAAGAAAATGTTAAAAACCACTCTTCCTATTCTATAAAGAATAAAACAAATTTTCATAAGAAAATTAGAGAAAAATAATGGGCAACATGCTGTGAGCCATGATCTTAAAAGAATGGCTAAAAAGTTACTTAAACTGTAAGACAAGAAAAAAAGACTCTCCCTTACAAAAACAGAACAAAGGGAGAAACTATAAATAGAAAGCTATTAGTATAATAAAAGTCTTACAATATTCTTGAAAAATATTTAGAAATGCTTTTGAAATAGATAATCTGGGGAAGTGTTGAAACTTGTGTCTACTCCCTGTATACCTATCTCCTATTTTGCTCCTTAACCTTTTGTGCCCCAGCTGGACTGGGCTCCCCAGTCCCGTCATCTCCGGCTCTTCCTAGACATTCTCTCGCCTCGGGTCACTCTTCATTTTCATTCCACCAACTGGCACTCTGCATCCTCTAGGACTATTACAAATTCCACCTAAAATTTCTCACTTTTTTCCCAGATGTGGACTCATCCTCTGCTTTTACAGAACCCCACTTGGCTTTAATTCATGTCTGATTGGCATCAAAATTAGAATGGATTATGACACAGTACCCTAAGAAAACTTTAAAAAGGGGAGCAGCAATCATTAATAGTTCAATTCCCTTAATTAGAAGAAATGACAACAAGCTCATTCTTTCTTGTGATAAGAGTATAAGGCTGAAAGCTCTGGTAAGTAACAAAGGCGTCTCCAGTCGTGACCCGCGTCCTGCAGGGTCAACCCCACATAGAGCAACTTCCTAGGGCTACTGCAGAGCTATTTCAAACATCATTCTGAACAAGGCCTGTGAATAGAAGTGGAGGGCCAGGTCACATTCTGCTTTAAGAGGTAATAAACACAGCTGAGTTTAAAAATAAAAAAAATAAATAAAAAATTATGAACTGCTTGTTACTAAGGACACGCTGAATCTTAACCTCCAAAGCCCTCCATTCCCAACACTAGGTGCCACGGATCTCCTACCTGCAGGCTCAGCTTTGCCCCATCTTTGGTTCAGTTAGGCTATCAGGTGGTTTATCCCATGCCACTCAATGGCAAGTCCAGCTATAACTTGGCAGCCCATCTATGACTTGGTATGGCATTTCTCCTCTGTTCCAGCATTCCTAAAACCCAGTGCCCACATGATATACAGCTTCCAGGAACCACATCTAGTTTTGACTGTTTGTCTGTACTATAGTAGACTCATCTCTGTTATATTTTGGAGCTCTTTTACCTTTAAGCCCTGGCTCAGCTCTACTATATCTTCCCCCAAGAATCAGAGTCCTGACCATGGATTTGAGTAGTAACGGGCCCTACTAGGTCATGGACTGGTTTCATCATGATGAATTTCCTTCTTGATTTCCAAATATCTGCCCCTGTACCCCATATATTTCTCCTCACTCATCTTTTTATTAAATAAACATATAGTATATTATCTTTATTCTCCGATTCCCTCAGTTGACTACTTGCTTGTTGTCTATTGCCTTAATTTGTAGATACTGCTGCTACTATTGCATGGGGTTCCGCTCAGCACCGATGCATTTATCTGTCTTCTGATGCATACCCTTCCTTTTAGCAGGTTTACTTTTATATGAGTCCTTTCCAAGTCACCTAACCTGCCATTCTTCACCGTAAGTAGCCAAACTACCTCTCATTACCACAAAGTGGTAGCTAATTAAACAACCATATGTGTGGACTGCGGATTGCTGGATCAGTGTCAATTTGTCAGATCTCTAAAGAATGCTGAAGGGCTTTAGACTTTGCACTGTTCAGTTCTATTCAAATCAAAGACAAGAAGGAAATTAGAGAAAAGGTCTTCATCTAATTTTTAGATGATCTGCCATTCAGAAAAAGAGCAATACGCTCTGATAATTTGAGAGTATTTTAAGCCCACTATGAAAGGATCAAACATTAAAATGAATGCATGCATTGGTTTTAGGCCTAACTTCTCAGGTAGAGTGAAGGCAAAATGATTTAATTTATTATAGCAACTTACATTCAACCCTCCAGCAGTGCCAAACTGCAAGTAGCTCCTGTTGACACCAGGCTGTTTTTCTTTTGTCTGGCTTTATTTGCTTTTTCTCTCTCTTCTAGAAAATCCTCCCCTGCTCTTTTATCTGCTTAACTGTCCCTCAGGTTTGTTACTCAGGCAGTCCCTCCTAAGAGCTTTATTGAACAAGACACCCTGTGCTCTCTGTTCCTGCTCTGTGACCCTACATGACTATCCTCCTTGTGCTGCATTCATAATGTAGAAAGTGGAAGGCCTGCTTCCATCTCCTGAAGGAGATGATGTCTGCTGAGCTGTTTTGCTGGCTGTAGAAAAAGTATAGTTTGTTCTTTTGATACAAAGTTTTTAACTTTCCCATGCTTTGGAGGCTATCAGAATCTCCAAGCTTTGGGTGCTGCTCAAACTCATTCACTCTTCTGTTCATGAGCCCTGCTTGGATTCTTGAGACCTAATGAACTCAAGAAGCACTTCCTTAGCCAGTGTTATTCTACCTGCTCTCATCTCACCAGGCATCACAACTTGCTAGCCACGATGAGGGTTGCAGTAGCAAAATCTGAACTTCAGTTGACTTCAGGAAAAGACAAGCCACCTATGGACCAGAGTGGCTATGAAAAAGTATGGATTTATAAAACACATTAGTTGAAGTATAACAAAAATCATGAGATGAAGTAAGTGGTCCCATTACATTCAAAACAGGAAATCCAATCTGAGTGTCCCATTGGAGGACAGTATAATCTTAGTTCTTTCAAAGGAGACAAACTAAAATGTAGAAAGATTTTCAGGTCCTCTGCCGGAAAGGAGATAACGTAGAATACACGGATACAATAATAGAAAACCTGTCTTGGAAAATGGGTTTTAGAAACAACATGTAGTTTTCCTTTTTTCATTGTCTTTTTTCGTGTGTGTTTGGCACAAGGTTTCACTACACAGATCAGACTCATAGTGATCCTCCTGTTTTCAGCCTCCCTAGCACTGGGATTACAGGTGTATACCACTATGCCTGATCTCCATGGCTGAGTCAGCATACCTGTGGATGGGCTTGGGCCAGCATGGCATGTGGTGCTGAGTATCGAACCTCGGTCCCTGTTCTTACCTAAGCAGATGCTTAGTCTGTGAGCTATCTTGCTAGCTATAGAAACAGCATAGTTTTCTAATTAAAAAAATTTGCTTAATATGAGTAAAATTTTCCTCTAAGAACTATTCAAATGCAAAATGCTGTTTTCATAGGCTTTAAGCAATCTATCAATGGATACATGTATAAAATATGTAGTGTATTATGTGATTATATAATTTATATATTTAAATATAATTTGCATATTTGTGCTATATATATATATGCCATGTTCTGTTATGGCTTGTGTCTAGATGTGGCTCCAAAACCTATTGCAGGGGGCTGGAGAGATGGCTCAGTGGTCTAAGGCACCTACTTAGAACAAGCTTGGCAAAGCATCAGGGACCGCGGTTCAATCCCCCAGCA